CAGCTCTCAGCTCCAGGATCACTTCTTCAGGGAAGCCTCCTTGACACCCTAGTCAGGTAAAACTCCTTTGTTGCAGCCTCTAGTCGAATCTTGTCTTTCCTTTAGCACGCCTATCTCAGTTTATAATTAGACATGAATCAGTAATTACTTAATGTTAGCTTCCTACGTTAGACTGTAAGCTTCTTGAAAGTAAGGACACTTAACAGTTCACACAGTGCCTGGTACATAGGATGGTATAAATGAATACACTGTTAAATAAATAACTACATGAATGAATGAATGAACAAATGGACAAAGAGGAATAGAGCAAGGTGGTTCTGGAGTTAGAGAGACCTGTATTCAAATCCTGACTTCGACACTTATTATGTGACCTTGAATAAGTTATTTAACCTCAATTCCCTCATTTGTAAAACAGTGGCAATGGTACCTACCTCATAGGGTTGTGATGAGATAATCGTGTGTCTGTCACATAATAATTACTTACTATATGCTACCATGTATTACTATCATGATTCTTGTTAATATTAAGAACTTTTACTGTTAGACTAGGATGATTTTAACCTCTCTTCAGGACCCTCATAGGTTGCCAATATCCTCCATACCTCTCTTCACCTACCTGCTAGTTGGGAAATTCTTCCTCAGATTTAAACTCAGATTTTTTTTTTTTCCCACTCCAAGCAGCTTGTGGGATATTAGTTCCCTGACTAGGGATGGAACCCGTGACCCCTGCTGTGGAAACACAGAGTCCTAACCACTTGACTGTCAGGGAATTCCCTAAAGGCAGATTATTTAAAAAGCGTTTCAATAATGCTTGCAAAGCTCATTTCTCTGATTCATTAAATCACTGATGATTTACCATGCTTCTGTCATTCATTCATTCAACAAATATTTCTCAAGCTATCCAGGTACTGTTCTAAGCACTAGGGATAGAGTGAAAACACAGAGGAAAAATCCTTGCCTTCAGCGAGGGAATAACTTGATGGGAGAGGCAGAATATAAATAAATATATAATAAAATGTCAGATAGTGATGTGTACTATGTAGAAAAATTAATTGAAATAAGGGGAGGGGCTGTGGTGCCAGTATTTACAGATCCTTGTAAGCCATGGGAAAGAGTTTAGATTTTATTCTAAGTGTGAATGGAAGCCTCTGGAGGGTTATGAGCAAAGGAATGACATGATCTGATCTTCATTTTAAAAAAGTCATTCTGTAAACCAATGTCTATAGAAGCATTATTCATAACAGCCCAAAGATGGAAACAACCCAAATGTCCATCAGCAGATGAATGGATAAACAAAATGTGGTATATGCATGCACTGGAATAGTATTCAGCCCTAAAAAGGAGGGAGAGTCTGACACATGCTACACTATGGATGAACCTTGAAGATATTATGCTGAGTGAATTAAGCCAGGCACAAAAAGACAAATGCTGTATGAGTCCACTTATATGAAGTACCTAGAGTAGTCAAATTCATAGAGACAGAAAGTAATCAGCAGGGACTGGAGGCAGTGGGGAATGGAGATTGATTGTTTAATAGGCACAGAATTTAAGTTTAGAAAGATGATATACAGAGTGAATGTATTTAACGTCACTGTGCTGTACGCTTAAAAATGGTTAAAATGGTAAAATAATAATAATAGTAATTATTATTATTATTCTGGCTACTGTGTGGTGAAAGAACAAAATAGGGAGAAATGGTTAAAGTGGAAGCAGAGAACCCAGTTAGGAGGCTACGACTGTACTCCAGAGAAGGAATGGTGGTGGCTTGGATGGAAGTTGTAGGGATGATCAGGAGGGGTCAGACTCTGGGTATTTTTTTTTTTTTTTAATCGAAGTATAGTTGATTTACCAGGTATTTTTTTTTAAGGTAGAGCTTAGCAGATTTGGACTGGAGGTAGAGGTGAAAGAAACAGAGAAATGAAGGATGAACCCAAGAATATTGAGCAACTAGGAAATAATTGTGTCATTTACTGAAATAAGACGGGGGAGGAGCAGATGTGAATACTTTTGGACAAAGTTAAGTTTAGGATGGCTATCAGATATCCAAGTGGAAGTGTTAAGAAGGCAGTTGGATTTGGCAGTCTGGCGCTCAGGGAGAGGTCTTGTCTGAAGAGAAAAAAATCGAGAGTTATCAAGGTATCTAAAGGAGCCAGTAAGCCAGAAAGAGAAAAACAAATATCGTATATTAATGCATATATGTGGAATCTAGAAAAATGGTACGGATGAACCTATTTGCAGGGCGGGAATAGAGACACAGGCATAGAGAATGGACATGTGGACACGGCGGGGATAGGAGAGGGTGGGACAAATTAGGAGATTAGGATTGACATATATACACTACCATGCGTAAAATAGCTAGCGGGAACATGCTATAGAGCACAGGAAGCTCAGCTCAGTGCTCTGTGATGACCTAGATGGGCGGGATGGGGGGTGTGGGAGGGAGGTCCAAGAGGGAGGGGATATAGGTATTCATAAAGCTGATTCACTTCATTGTACAGCAGAAACTAACACAACATTGTAAAGCAATTATACTCCAATAAAAATAAGTAAATAAACAAATAAAGGAGCCAGATAGGGACTTCCCTGGTGGTCCGGTGGTTAAGAATCCACCTTCCAATGCAGGGGACACAGGTTCAATTTCTGGTCGGGGAACTAAGAACCCACATGCTGTGGGGCAGCTAAGCCCGCACGTCACAACTACTGAGCCCATGCGCCACAACTAGAAAGCCTGCATGCTCTGGAGCCCATGCGCCACAACTACAGAACCTGTGCGCCACAACTAGAGAGCCCATGTGCCGCAACTAATGAGCCCAAGCACTCTGGAGCCCACGTGCCACAACTAGAGGGAAGCCCTCGCACTGCAACAAAGAGCCCGTGTGCCACAACTAAGACCTGACACAGCCAAAAATAAATAAATAAATATTTTTAACAAATAAAAATTTTTTAAAATTCAAGGAGCCAGATAAGCTCAGCCAGGGAGCAGGGGTAGCCAGAGTAGAAAAGAGGGCCCAGCCCATGGACTCAGGCCTGCCAATATTTAGAAACTGGCAAGAGAAGAGGAATGAGCAGAGGATAAGAAAGGATACAGATTTTCACCTTCTTCAGTGAGGAAGTGGAAAATCAGAGGAAAATGTGAAGAAAAGATTCAAGGAGGGAGCTATCAAATGTTCAAATGCTGCTGATAAATTATGTAGGATGCAGACTGAGAACTGGCCATTGGGTTTTGCACGAATAGTGAACTTTTTAAAATAAATTTATTTATTCATTTATTTATTTATTTTGGCTGCGTTGGGTCTTCGTTGCTGCGTGTGGGCTTTCTCTAGTTGCAGCGATCAGGGCCTACTGTTCGTTGCAGTGCACGGGCTTCTCACTGCGGTGGCTTCTCCTGTTGTGGAGCACGGGGGCTCTAGGTGTGTGGGCTTCAGTAGCTGCGGCATGCGGGCTCAGTAGTTGTGGCTTGCGGGCTTAGTTGCTCCGCGGCATGTGGGGTCTTCCCGGACCAGGGATCGAACCCGTGTCCCCTGCATTGGCAGGTGGATTCTTAACCACTGCGTCACCAGGGAAGTCCCAAGAATAGTGAACTTTTTAAGAGTGGTTTTTGTTTTTTTTTTAAGATGTTGGGGGTAGGAGTTTACTAATTAATTTATTTTATTTTTTTGCTGTGTTGGGTCTTCGTTTCTGTGCGAGGGCTTTCTCTAGTTGTGGCAAGCAGGGGCCACTCTTCATCGCGGCGCGCGGGCCTCTCACTATCACGGTCTCTCTTGTTGCGGAGCACAGGCTCCAGACGCGCAGGCTCAGTAGTTGTGGCTCACGGGCCTATCGCTCCGCGGCACGTGGGATCTTCCCGGACCAGGGCTCGAACCCGTGTCCCCTGCATCGGCAGGCGGACTCTCAACCACTGCGCCACCAGGGAAGCCCTAAGAGTGGTTTTAATTACATTCTAGGGCTGAAATTTTGCCTGCAACGAATTGAGAAGAGAACGAAACGTGAGAAGGTGGAGGCAGTAAATAAAAGCAATTCTTCCAAGGAGTGTTGGTAAACAAGAAGCAGAGAAATGGAGCAGTAATCATAAGAGAATGGGAGAAAAAAAAAAAGAGGATGGGCAGTCTGGGAAGGGCTTTTTAAGATGGGAGAGTTTAAATCATGTTTGTAAACTGATGTGAATAATCCAGTAGAGAGAAAAAATGCTTTTGCTGGAGAAAGAAGGGATAACTGAAGGAGCAAATTTCCTGTGACCAGGAAAAGAGGGGTTCAAGTTTACATGAGGAGACATTGACCCTAGATAGGACAGTTCACTTAGTACAGTGTAGTGGTTGAGAGAATGACCTCTTGTTACCTGAAAACTGGGTTCACCTCTTGGTAGGTGTCAAGCCAAAAGACACAAGCAAGCCAAAGAAGAAGGAAGAAGAAGGAAGGATTTATTGCTTGCAGCAAGTAAGGAGAACACTGGGAATCTGTCCCAAAGCAGTGTTTCCCTGAACAGCAAAATTGGGGAATTTTTAAGCTAAGGGTACATGCATATTCATGAAGGGGCTTGAGCAGAGGAAAATTCAGCATAGAAGTGGGGCAAAGGTTGACAGAGTCCAGCTTTAGTTGAAGTCATGAGTGTCAGAAAAGGTGAACATCATCATTCCATTCTCCACCTTGGTGGGAGCCTGCAGAACTTATCAGATTGTTATATATACCCCTTGAGGAGGAATTAGGACTCTGTTTTATCCCTGAACTATTGTTTCTTGACAGCTTTTCCTTTGTTCCTGCATTCCCTCAATTCCCTTAAGATCTTTTTTTTTTTTTTTTTTTTGGCTGCGTTGGGTCTTTGTTGCTGCACGTGGGCTTTCTCTGGTTGCAGCGAGCAGGGGCTATATTCTTCGTTGCGGTGCGGTGGTTTCTCTTTGTTGCAGAGCACGGGCTCTAGGCACATGGGCTTCAGTAGTTGTGGTGCACGGGCTTTGTTGCTCTGTGGCATGTGGGATCTTCCCGGACCAGGGATTGAACCCCTATCCCCCGCATTGGCAGGTGGATTCTTAACCCCTGTGCCACCAGGGAAGTCCTCCTTGCAGTTTCTTACTGCACCACATGACAGTACAGCTCACTGGGCCAGAAATGTCCTACTGCTCCAACACTCCTGGAAAACTCCTGGTCCTCAAGACACATCTCAAGCATCCTGTGCTCTGTGAGGCCTCCCCACTCAAGCCTCAGGAGAGGATACTGCCCCAGGACACTGTATGGGTGGCCAACAAAATGAGCTGTGGGTCTCGGAGCAGTTTCAGAGCAGCAATTTCATCTTTCTCATCCTTTTCCCAGTGCCAGTGTGAGATCCCACCAAATAAAGGCTTATGAAAGAGAAGGAAAAGGAGAGAGACAGGAATGCAGGATCACTGGAAGGGAGGAAGGCCTCAGGACCAGGACATAGAGTCAGGGAAGCTGACTTTATCTCTTTCCTGTGCACACCCCTCCCCCCACCAGTCACTGTTCAGAAGCAGTGGATTGGATACCCAGGGAAGGATCCATCCAAGCATTTGACAAGTAGGAAAGGCCGTGGTGAGGCAGAGCAGACAGGTATCTGATCACCATATTTATGTTTCCATGTACACCGACTCTACATAGACTGCATATTTACGCATGAGAACTGGTACTGGCAGGTTGAGGATTTCTGGAACAAGGGCCTTGCTGAACACTCAAGTGGCAGACACTCAGCTGAGGCCTACGAGGGAGAATGGCAGGGCGGAGGAGTGGAGAGACGGTCTTCTGGGTAGAGAGGTGGGCAGCCATGTGGACAGCCCTGTGGGAAGGGGTGGGCCTCCTGAGGACGGGCCAGGGAAGCCAGGCGCTGCTGTACACACTCAGCTGTCAGCCGTGCTTCTGGGTCTGCATCCCAGGAGTCCTCCAGGAGTTCTCTCAGGCCGCCAGGGTCCTGGGAAGAATGACCAGGAGGCAGGCTTTACCCCAGGATCCTGAGTGGCCCCATGAGCGGCCCCAGGGTTAAAAGGTATATATCATGGCCCCGTTCTCAACACTCCTCTGACCCTTCCTGGAGCCTTCTTCCTCCCCTTCACTGAAATCCAGCCCTTTGCATCTTGTTCCCTGTGAGACAGGTTCTCTCCAAAGAGTCCACCTTTTCCTCTGAGGAGCTAATTCAGGTTAATTAATGGCTTACCGTGCTGACGGGAAATTACTCTCCTTCCTCTCAGGCAATCAGGGTCTTCTACAAACAATGCCTGGGTCTTTGTTATCTAACCCAACAGACACTTGTGCAGTGGAAACTTCAGATCAGGTAGCAGAAGAATGGGCTTCCTGTTAGGAAACTATTTTCCTCAGAAACCCTGAAATTTCACTATTAGGCCACTGTTTTAACCCTTTATACTTAGTTCTGGCTTTTATTGGGTCATGTCAGAAACACAGATGTGTAGGATAAAATGAGGAATTATTGGATTAAATGTTGGGCTCCAGTGTACTAGGAGAGGAGCCATCTTGGGGGCAGAGCTCAGGGCAGAAGCAAAGCCAAGGAGGGCTTCCTGGAGGAAGGAACTGAGGAACAGGGCAAACTGATGATGGAGAGAAGAGAGACAGACAAAGCAAGACTGAGCAAGAGGAAGGTGTGTGTCTCAGGAATGGGCTGTGTGAGACTTATGGTGGAAGGGGATGAACTGAGGTTCAGAGCAAGTTTGCCCTGCTCCAGCTGACCATGAGCCAGGAGGGTGGGAGATGAGAGGGCATAGGAGTAGGTGGGCTGGTCCTGGTGGACAAGTCCTTGAAGCCCGTGCCAGGACTCTGCAGGTCCCCAGCCCACCAGCCTGTGGCCTCTTACTGTGGCAAAGCAGCACCAGGTGGATGGGATGTGAGGGCGCCTTCTCTCCTCCACTGCCAAGGTCCACAGCTCACAGGTGGTAGGGGTGCTACCCAGTTCTGCCTCATAGGCCAGTTGGAAGGGTGGTGTTCTGCTGTCTGGGAAAAGGCACAGGGGGTGTCAGCTAACCCGAGGGGGTGCCTTCTTGCGGAACGGCCAAGAGGAAGAAGGGAAGAGCCTCCTGGGTCAGGAGGTAGGTGGGTCTGGAATGGGTGGGTGGGGCATGAGGGGAGCAAGGCCACTGTCACATCCAACCTTACCGGGTCTCAAATCTGGGCAGCGGCTCATGATCTCCCACAGGAGCAGAGCCAGAGAGTAAACATCAGCTCGCCGGAGGGCCGTGCCCCAGTCCTGTAGGTCCAGAGTCTTGTCCAAGAGCTCCGGTGCCATGTACCTCTGGGTGCCAGCCTAGACAGCAAGGCATGGAGGGCCAACAATCATCACCACGGCACTCCTCACCACACAGTGGTCCATGCAACAACCCCCCAAGTAGACTCAGCAACATCCCACGTGCTATAGGTGCTGCCGCACTGTTGTCCCATCTTCATCAGCACCACCACCAGCATCCTGGGGCTCACCCTTATCCAGAGTACTGACCTCCATGATGGCAGCTGGGCCTCGGGGTTGAGTAGGAGCCCAGGTTGGGGGCTGGGCAAGGCCAGGGAGCACCAAGGCGAGGCCCAGGTCTCCAATGGCGCATGACCCATCATCCCGAATGAGCACATTCTGGCTGCTCAGATCCCGGTGGGCGATACCTGGTTTATATTGGCCTGTGGAAGAAACCAGGTTGAAGGGACATGAATCTTCTTCCTCTCTCTTTTTGACCCAATCCTTCCCCTCCAAGCTAAGGGAAAATCAGAAACAGCGGTGTGGCTCCTGACTCCCATGGCTTCCTGCCCCTAGCTCACCCACCATCCTGCCAGCGTTCCTCATGGAGAAACGCCAGGCCCTGAGCCAGGGACAGTGCCATCCGCAGGGAACTTCCCCAGTCACTGGTGTGCTGGGCCAAGTAGTGGCACAGGGAACCCTGGGGAGAAGCAGAGAGAAGAGAGGGACACACAAAGCTGGAGGTGGCTGATCCACCCCAGGGAGCAGAGATCAATTGATCCCCCTGCATCTCCCAGCAGACTTACACACCGACACACCCAGAGCAAGGCAGCAGGCAGTGGAGGAGTGAGCACGTGCATCAGTTGGATTGACAGGAAAAACAGTAGCTCTAGTTCAAGTGCCCCGAGCACTTACTGCGTGCCAGGCCTCCTGTAGCCCTCACTACAACCCTGGAGGTAGGTACTCCTGTCACTCCTGTTTTACAGATGAGGAGTTTGCTGGAACTCCCTGGGCAAGAGAGTAGCAGAGCTTGACCCTCAGCAGTCTGACTCCAGCATCACTCACCTTTAGCCACCTCATACTGCCTCACAGGACTTGGGGTAAAGACAGAAACAGAAGAGGCAGAGCGGGTTAGGCGGGGCACCCTCGTGAACCACCTGGCCTGAGGTGTCACCCTGTAGCCGAGCGCGGATGGGGAGAGCCGTTGGGTAGGAGAGCAGCTGGCAGGGAGCAACTGGGAATTGGAGGGAAAGGAGCAATAGAGTCCCTCATTCTGCAAACATTACTGAGCACTTTCAGTGTGCCAGGAAAGGTAAACAAACAAACAAAACTAAAAAAGCAGTGATTTTCGAGCTAGGCAGTGAGGTACATTGGTCAAAGAAGGGACTTGCCGGAATTCAAGATTTCAGAGGTGAAGGAATTACAGGTGCTGATAAAGTCCCACGTCCTTAGCAGGCCCACAAGGCCAGTGTGGTCTGGCCCCTGCCTACCGATTACTCTTCATCCTCTCTTATAGGACCTTTACTTTTTTTTTTTTAAATATTTACTTATTTGGTTGCACCGGGTCTTAGTTGTGGCAGGTGGGCTCCTTTAGCTGCATCTCGCGGGCTCCTTAGCTGCAGCACGGGACTTCTTACTTGTGGCATGAAAACTTTTATTTGCAGCACACACGTGGGATCTAGTTCCCTGGCCAGGGATCGAACCCAGGCCCCCTGCATTGGGAGCGCAGAGTCTTACCCACTGCACCACAAGGGAAGTCTCTCTTGTAGTGCCTTTTCTTTCTGCACTTAACGCGCTTGACATTTTACACATCTTTTTGTGTTTGCTTGATCCATTTCTGCTTCCCTACTACTCTATAAAATCTGGAAAGGCAGGGACTGGGTGTGTTTTTCCTAGCACAGGAAGTGCGACATATAGTTCATAAACATTAGTTGAATGCCTGGAGGTAATTCTTTAACAATGGTTTTCCTTGAGGTTGGGAATACGAATTGTTTTGATTTCTCCCTTTTCTTGTCAATGTTAAGTCAAAAACGTTAGCAAGTACTGCTTATAATAATAAAAGGTAAAAACAATACAAATCACTTTTAATGTTCTACAGAAAAGGAAATCTAAACAATAAGAATAAAGCAAAAGAATAAGCGTGGACAGGGCCTCGCTGCCATCCAGCACCCCCGCCCCGACGCCTTCCCACACACAGGCAAACACACACATATGCGCTCCTCAGCACTCACCTTGGGGTGTAGTTCCAGTACCAGCAGGGGCCCACAGGGCAGGGGACCAGGGCTGCCCCTGCTGGCGGTGATCAAGCGGACAATGTGGTCATGCCGTAGGCCCGGCAGCCCGTACAATGCTCTCTCAGCTTGGAACTGGGCCACAGCCCTCAGGGGGAAGGCCTTGATGGCTACCAGCTTGCCTTGCAGCCGCCCGGCCCACACCACTGCGTGACCTCCTTCCCGGATTACCTGGTGAGGACATGGTGCTGGGTGTGGGCCCCAGCTAGGAGCAGAGCCAGGCTTCCTCCCCAGCACACCCTCGGAGAGCGCCCAGAGGAGCCCGCCGCCCACCCTCCCCGGGCACCTGGGAGAAGCACAGCTCGGGCAGCTCCGGCAGCTCGGCACTCCAGTCCCTGCCTGAGTGTGGCTCCGGCTCCGGCTCTGGCCCTGGCTCTGGCCCACCGTGCACTGGGCAGGCCTTCCGTTGTAGCAGGGCTGAGGCAGAGGAGAGCCTTAGGGCCGGGGTGCATGGGTATGGAGACTGGGAAGGGGGCTTTGTGGGAAGTGATGGGGGTCAGGGCGCTGGGACAGTGTGTTGGGGTCACAAGGGAGGGGTGGGGCAGATTAGTACCCAAGATGATGTTGCTCAGCAGCAGCAGGAGAAGGAGCAGCCCCAGGAGCACCAGTGCCGTCCAGATGGACTCGCCTGGACGTTAAAGCAAGAACGCGGGCTGGATGAGCCCTGCCCCAAATCGTGCTCTCTGCTCCTCTCCCGCTCCTCAGAGAAGTTGCTTCTCCACCCGCCCCCACCCTGGTCACAAGCCCCTTTATCTCCCAGTCACCAGGGCAACCAACTTCTCAAGGCCAGGAGGAGGAACGCTTGGGATGGGGGGTAGGGTGAGAATTGGCCCTGGTTCTACCTCTCATTCTAACCTGGGCTCCAGCCCCCACCTGGCTCCAGCATCCTGGGTGGCTACCTGGGATGGCCTTGGGACCCTGGGAACCAGGTGTCCCAGGGCTCCCCAGACGAGGCAGATGGCTGTAATTGGCATTGCAGAAGTCAGTGCCACAGGAGCAGGTGAAGAGAGTAAAGCTGGGACTAGGATGGGCTCGGGGGCTCGGATCACAGTGGGGGGACTCACAGCCTGGCTCATCACTGTCTCGGCATCCTGGTGGGATGGGATTGGGAGAAGAGGAGAGAAAGGGGGCGAGAGAGAGAGAGAGAGAGAGAGAGAGAGAGAGAGAGAGAGAGAGAGAGAGAGAGAGAGAGAGAGAGTGTAAGAGTGAGCATAACGGGGGTC